TGGGTTTCTAATTACATCTTTTAAGTCTACTATAAATAAACATATCCTCTATCCTCTCACTCAAACCCAGTGTAATGGTAACCTGATAGACCTGTAACATTAACGTTACGTGGTCAACATAAAACCTGAACCTGCCTAATAAACCGACAGATGTATTTATGTATGTAACTATGTATTTTTCTACGTTTAACGTTAGCCAGTAGATGGTGGCAGCGGAACGTAATGATTAACGTTACCGACCTTTTTTATGTCATTGTCAAGAGTTGGATGTCAACGCCACTCAACGCAAACAAGTGTGACAAAGCAACATTCACTCATCTTTTTCAAATATTCAGTTACAAAGCTAGTAGCAAACTAAGTTAACATTACATAGCTGATGCTGAGCTAACATGTTTGCTAACCGTCCATATGCGTTATGTGACTGAACTCTCCGGGGTGAGTTTTTCAAGTGCCTGATGAAATTTGACGTTGTTGCACCAGCATCCTTGATTTTAATATTGCAGACTTTGCAGTGTGCGCTCCTTTTGTTGGTGCCGCCGGCGTTTTGTTCGAAGTTTGTATAGTTGAACCTAATTACAAGCGGTACAGCTGCAGGTGTGCCGCCGGTCGCCATGGTGTTACCATGATGTTACCATGATGTTAATGTTAATGTTAATGGTGGGGTAGGTAAGTTTGAGAAACCGGCTCGAGATACACTTGTTGTTATATTCCATGGAATCCTCCCGATAGCAATGAATATCTTAAGTGCTTTGACAAAAAATCCATTAAAAAAATGCATCTGTGGAAGCTGTGGTACTGTAAAAAGCACGACCAATTATTTTAGCCGGCCCGGCTATAATAACTGGATAGCCTACCTGCCTGTCAGCCTTCCATTGGGGCACAAACTTATCTCGTGCCCTCATTGGTCATGTGCGCGTTCGTGTGTGTTGAAGGAGGGGCTCTGTAAGGAAGTGGCAGATTTTCTCCGGTTATGTATTTTCAAATTCTAGCGATCTCGAGCCGGTTTCTCAAACTTACCTACCCCACCTTTAATACGCCAAAAATAGAAAACACAATGATTGTTCACGAGTCCCAAAACACGAGTCCAAGTCGAGTCCGAAGTGTTTTGAGCAGGAGTCCAAGTCAAGTCTGAAGTCTCTGTGTGTGCGACTTAAGTGCGACTCGAGTCGGAGTCACAAACTCGAGTCCCCATCTCTGGTGTGTGTGTGTGTGTGTGTGTGTGTGTGTGTGTGTGTGTGGTGTGTGTGTGTGTGTGTGTGTGTGTGTGTGTGTGTGTGTGTGTGTGTGGTGTGTGTGTGTGTGTGTGTGTGTGTGTGTGTGTGTGTGTGTGTGTCAGGTGGGTGGGTGAGTGAGTGGGTGGAACAGCATGCCTCATTCACAGTGGCATGACCGCACGATAAGGCACTATGGGGACAATTCATTTATTCCTATCACAAAGCCTTTAGGTTCACCATCATATCCTCTTAGACTCAATCAAAGCCCTTTCTTCTTCAGTCTTAAACACATATCAATCATCCTAAAACAACTGTGCCCTTTTGGCATGAACAATTCTGAACACATTTATTTAATATCAAGCACAACAGTTCCAATCTTGAAACAAATCCAAAAATATCAATTAACAATATCTCGAAGACCTCCTTATGGTATTCCTCAGGGATGCATAATGGGGTCCTTTTGGCTGTATCATCTCTATCATTAGTCTTTGACTCTCTGGTCATAAGCAATTGTATTGGCAAGAATCTGGCAATCTGGAGTTTATCTTTATTTTCTTACACTCCTAACGGTTAGACAACAAGGAATCCCCAAGTGTCTACCATATATTTCATCATACCATTTCCTATCCCTCTTACTTCTGTGATCTGCTTCCAACAACACAGGGAACCATAATCTCAAAAACAAAAAGTGTTGGCTATGTCTTTTTTGTAAGATGTTGCATAATAAACTAATACAAGTATCACTTGCCAATGAAGAAGCTGCATGCATGGATACATTTCATGAAAATATTATATTTATGAAGTTTTTTTAATGCAATAAATAGATGTGTGTGGTGTAAATAGTAAATAGCAATTCAGTATTCAGTATTCAGTAAATAGCTGAGACTAGGGAATATACTGCAATTATATATTTGTTTTAAAGCTTGAATTAAGTATAACAACAGTTGAATGGGGAAAAGGAACTGATGCAGAATAGTTAAACTTCAGTTGAAATCTTCTTTTAGTCTGTTAACATAACTAAGCATGTTAAACATTCACATACAAATTGGTTGTTGTGCCTAGTGAGTTGACATTGTTAATAGATTGGGTTTACATGTAGCTCAGGTTACATATTCACATATAAGCTGTGTTGTGTGAAAAGCTATTAATGAATAAATGTGTGTAGTGCATAGGCACTCTAGGTTGAATTGCTTAAGGGAAGGCAACTCAATAGGTTATAGGATGCTTGAAACATGAAAGACATAAGCAACAATTAAAACTGTGAAAAATAAATTCTTCACATAGCAAAACGTTGCATTTTCACCAGTAAAGGAGAACACTTCAAAGAGTAAATGCCAGAGGTGGGGACTCGAGTCACATGACTTGACTCGAGTCTGACTCGAGTCACATGACTTGACTCGAGTCTGACTCGAGTCACATGACTTGACTGGAGTCAGACTTGACTGCATATTTTTTGACTTGAGACTTGCTTGACTAACATTGATAAAAGACTTCACTTGACTTTGACTTGGTATTCATGACTTGAGACTTGACTTAAGCTTGAGACAGATGACTTGAAAGGACTTGACTGTTTAAAATTAAATATTTGCGTTGGTTTTTGTAGTGAGATATTACGTTTAGTTTTTTCGAAAAACGTGATTATAGCGCCATGCGCGCAAACCTGGCAACCCACTAGAAGGCAGGAGTCTCAGTTAACATGGCAGCGTCTATCTTTACTCCAAAAATAGTGAAGTTTGGATTCAAGGATTATTATGTCGATGACGGTAATAAGAAGAGAACAGCGGTATGCAGGGTCTGCAGCATAAAGATCAGTGACACGACCACCACAACATCCAACTTCATTCGTCACTACAAAAAAAACCACAGAGAAAGATGCGTGCATGTGTTGTGTTAGCTAGAAAGCTAACGTTAAGTTTAAGCTACGTTAGACTTGGTTTCAAGTCGATTAAGCATTGCAAAGAGAAGACAAAACGGTAAATTAACACTAGAACCGCCAAGGGATTCATTTTTGACTACCCTGATACTGACGGGCTGTCAGGAGAGAGAGAGAGGAAAAGAGATGCCTCGTTTATTTCCCCCGTGTTATTATCAGAAGTTACTGTAAACTTTTGAATAATGTAGATCATCTACTTTTAGTAGTTTGTTTAAATGTTTTAATTATGTTGTTTTTGTTTGTAAAAGTGCATCATTCCTTGATTTATTGTAAAATGAATCTGAACTTTTTGACAGTAGGGAACTGAAGCACTTTCTAAATTAACCCAATTAACTGAGTTTTAAATAGGCTAGTCCTACTTAGTTTATAAGGAAATTATGAAGAGGAACAAATTAAATGATTTGAAAATGATATTTCTGAAGGTGCTGACGCTGTTGGCGGTTCTAGTGTTAACAGAAATGTAAATAAAATATGTGTAATGGCAAATGCCATATATGATTTTCTTACCTGGAATTCTGCCTTTTTGAACAGACTTTTTGATTGAGTCCTAGCTATATTGTCTACAGTTCTAGGGTTAATATTCATCTAATATGATTGTCATCGATCTAAATTAGATTTCAAATGATTAACTGTGTATCTAATGAAGATCATAGTGTGGGTTAAATCCATTTTCATAACCACTGTCTTTTAACTGATTTAAATGCGGAAACTGGGCTTATTCATCAGAATTTCGTATGACTTGACTTACTTGACCAGAGCAATGACTTGACTTGACTTGCTTGACTCTCACCACAGTGACTTGGGACTTGCTTGATACTTGTAAGTCAAGACTTGAGACTTGCTCATGACTTGCACATGTAGGACTTACTCCCACCTCTGGTAAATGCAGCTGCCAGTAGAACTGCACCTTTTCATCTTTAGCAGCTCTACATTTGTCACTTGCTCTCATTTGGATTTCATATTCAATTCATAATGCGAGTGGGAATCATAGCCTACCCTGAGTGCAACTCCGAGGTGTAAATAGAGTAAAAATAGCCTGCTATCACAGGCTTCCCTACAGTCCCGTTATATAATGGTCCAAGCTAGGATGAATGACATCACGGGTAGTCCAGCAATCACAAACCCTATGTCCTTTACAACCAGCTGGCAATGTAAAACACTGGGTAGTATATATAACATACGCAACAATCCTTATAAACGGTCTAAACATGAAACACAAATATGTAACAATATTTTCGCAAACACTGGACAAATTATGCGAGTGTGGTTAGTTGTTCTTCGTCTCTTTTCGTGTAGAGAAAACACTTCCGCGATGGTGAAACGTAGATAAAAATGTACTGCTTTCCTTTGACAGTCATTATCAGTAAGAAAATAGTTAAACATAACACCTATACGACACGAAGCAACCTTATTTAGCAGTGTATGTCAATGATAAGCGTTACAAAGCATCCTACAAAGAGCAAATGTTTGAGCCGAGGTCGAGTGGCGCAGTTACTGAAAGTACAGCGGCTGCCCGACACCAGCTCTGCCGGCGAACGCGCTCGGTCAGAATCCAGCCAAACCTCCGCTCTCTTTCGCCCCACTTAAACACTAGTTTGCATGTACGTCCCGAAATGACAAGTACATAAACCCAAAGCCCGCATGCCCCCGTGCTGTTTGGTCACTTAAAAATAGGTCAGAGGGCGAAGTAAACATTTCCCGAGGCTTTGAAGTAAACCAAAGCGTCAGCGTCACCCTGCCCAGTTCTTCCAGCCATTTTCTCTTCACAGCTCCAAAGAAAGAAAAAGTGGCATGGCGAAAGCAATGACAGCTTGCTCAAAGGAGTAGTGAATGAAGAGTTTTGTGTGACTTACTGTAGGGTGTAACGGGCTGCTGAGTTTGTGTCTCTCCTTGTTGCCAGGGCTCCCCTGCTCTGCTCCGGCGCTGGCGGTGGAAAGCGTCTCCCCTCCTAATGATGTTTGCAGCGCACAGCTAATAGCTCTCTGCCCCCACCCTTCAGAGAGAGAGAGAGACAGAAAGAGAGAGATGGGGGGGGGGGGGGGGGGCAGTTTGTACGCTACTCATGCAAAAATATGAGGGCTCGGAGCTCTGCAAACAGAGACTGAATTACAAGTTCACTGACAGTACTAGGGCGTGAGAATGCACAGTAGGCTACATATGTTCAGTGTAAGTAAGTAAGTGTAGTGAGTGTATTTGGATATATGTATAGCAGCATAGAAATTCCAGAAACTGCATGTTTTTTTTCATTTTTTTATTTAATTTATAAAAGTGTAAATCATTGGTTTAGCTGGTGTGTTTCCTTAGCTAAACATCCCTCAAAAAAGTAAGCTGCAATAGGCTAACCCTCAGTTAAAATAATGAACTTCAACTTTTGACCACATCACTAAACGTTTAAGAATGTATAAGGTGGCTACACTTTTGGGGTATTTGTATTTTACTTTAGTAATCTTTTGATTAAATTGCATTATTGTTCTTTTTACTCCACTATTTTTGACAGCTGTAGTTGTATATTTTGAGTCCAGGAAGTGCATAAACCCAAACATTTTTGATTAAATCCATGTTTATGCATTACTTATGATAACCTAATAATGTAACCCGTAATGCTATAACACACACAGGATAATCCTGCCGCACAACACATTCAATTAAGTTTGCTTTTCCCTACAATACCTTTGAAGTTTTTAATCAAATTTAAAGAGACTTTTACACATGGATTATCACTTATAATTAAGTATTTTTATTTCCTAGTATTGCTAGTATTGCAATTGATAAAGTGAGTATTAAATTATGTATTTGATAATGTAATGTTTGCATCACTGGTGGCTATTGTTTATGAGCTTAACCTTGTGTTTAATATCACATGATGGGGACACCACACCATCTTTACTTTGAGTTCTCAAGAAGCTGTCAAAAGGCCTGCAGGTCCTGGCAGTCATCTGAGGTAGAAAGCTCAAGATCCTAGGGAGAATCAGTTTAGCTGAGAGCAATGACTAATAGTCAGCTGACAGTGACAAGGTGGAAAATCTCAGCAGCTGATAGTGACTGCTTTTACACACACACACACACACACACACACACACACCACACACACAACACACACACACACACACACACACACACACACACACACACACACACACACACACACACACACACACACACACACACACACACACACACACACACACACACACACACACACACACAATCTAGGAATACTAGAAAACATGTTGACGAAATACTTTTACTCATTACATGATTTAGGTGTTGCTAAATCACATTAAGCTGCTAAATTAAATTGGCTTTTTGTGGTTCAAACATTTGACAATTGGTGTATCTATTCATTTTACATTCCTATATGATACAAAATCAGCCACAACATTGCAATTAAACAGTTAAGGACAATTCAAATACTTAGTTAACCCCCCCCTTCTATTTTTTTGTGTATTTTATCTTGACCCCTGTGACCTCTCCCAGATTTCCAATATGGCAGCCTTCGCCTCTTGGACACAGGAGAGTGCAACCTGACACTGAATGAGCCATCGGGTGCACAAGGCTGCAGAGTGACAGACGATCTGGGATGTATCCCACTCCCAGCCAGTCAGTCAGTCAATAAGTGGCCTATTGTCCCGCGCTCTATTGTGCCATTGTCACATGTACGCCATACAAAGAGATAGAGAGGTAGGCTGCCCTGTGTGCCAGGAGGCTAGCATTACATTCATGGCCTGGATGCATAGAAATTAAGAGACACCGTCTGCTGGTGTATAGTCAGACCTTGATATTTGAATGCCCACAAGAATGAATAGTTTCAGTTAGCAACAACCATTTATTATGCAGTCTGTGTACAGGTTGGTTGATACTAGAGTATCTTTAGTGCTTCCTGTAGTGTCAATTTCACATTGTACACAGCATGACTTACCCACACAGCACATGTATCAAGTCAGAATTCAAGAGGAAACAGTACATGCACTACTGTAAATGTCATGTCAATTTAGAATTCAGTCGTACTGCTTCAAGTGTTGTTAGCGCACAGAAGTGCATGCATTCACTCATTTGCATACACACAAGCGTGTACTCGTTCCAGTCTTGGATCGCTCTCCCTTTCGTCTGTGCATGTACCCACAGGTGTACACCTACTCACTACACAGTGGGTGGATGAATCGCATGGAAAGCTCCAGGTGAGACTTCTTGCATAGGACCTGCAGAGGTACTGTACATGTACAGTAGGAAAAGTTAAGTAGGTAATTTCCTGTTTGGAAAAGCATTCATTTGAATGAGTTGCAACATTCACGGTACAATGATAATGCATAGTTGTGCGTAAGTGTGTGTAGTTATGGCGTGCTTGAGTAATGAATAAGAGCTGCTTTCAAAAGAGGAGTAGATTCTTTCAGGGTTGGGTTACTCCCTAGAGATGTATCTGTGTTCTTTGTAGGAGATGTGAGTAGTATACTCTGGGACAACAAAGTGTACCAGGTGTGGCATGTATGGGTAGAGCCCTGAGAAATGGAGGCTGGCTGTTTAGACCTGCATACCTGTATGGCTGTATGTGAGATCAAATGACTTAGATCTGAAATATAAATGCATTTTTTGAAACCTCAGTGATTTTAAAGCTTTCTTTTGTGAGAAAGGGTGCCAAGTTTAACATTAAATAGAAAACTAAATAGGAGACATCCACTTAACTGACAAGTATACACAAACAAGGAATTGGACACCTCACCTGGGATATGAATAAATAACACACTGAACCTAAAACATGCAAACACTTTGGAAGCAACCCTTCAGGGATTTTAAGAGATTTTATGAACATCCGTCCTTTATTTGTCAGCAGAAAGACACCGTAGCGCAGTGTCTGAAGTGCATGCCACTTCACACAGTTCACTCAATTGAACAGCCCAGCTCTTCAGGTGCTTTTATTGCTTTTTTATTCAACTGTATGTGAATTTTCTGATTTACCTGTTCAGGCAAAGGCATGGAAAAGCATCTCTTCAAATCTTCTGCGAAAAAGCATTTCATAGTTTAAGAGGAACACTCATGCTTTGAAAGTAGCTGTCACTTCAGATTTGAAGGCTTCAGTGTCTGCTGAAGTTCAAGGGACGGTGTGTTTCCTCACTGCTCCCTCTTTTGTTCAAATGTGGAAGTGTTTACAAGTTCCAGGGCTAGACTGCATCATGTTGAACACTTTGACATGATACAAGTAGTAACGACTTAAGACATCCACATTATCCACAGTTCTACTTTATAACAGACAGGGGACTCAACTTTGCAATGCTGATATACTGTGAAACATAACAGTTAATACCAACTTTCTTTTATTTTTCCCATACACCCGTCAGATAAAATAATGTACCCCTTAAGGTCGCTATTTATTTTAGCTGCTCATGCATTACCTTAATGTTTAATGTTTAGCATTAGTTTCAGCTAAGTATTATAACTATTTGCCCAACAATTTGAGCTATTTTAACCATTATCCAATAATTCTAACTAACATATTTGCTAATTGTTGTAGTTTTCATTCACACTGTCAACACGTTGAGCGCATTTGCAGTTCTTTTGATATTCAATTTCCTTTTTTTTCATTATTTGATCTATTATTTGAGCAATGGGTTACGGCAAAGTAACTGCTAACTTCACAACACTGCGAAACAGTCAAAATTCCCTTGAATTGTTGTTCATCTTGATTTATTAAAGAACAAAAAGTATATTGACTTTTTTATTTCTTGCAGTCAGGTTCCCAATTTATTTTATTTCCAATATCCTTCACCCATTGTGTATATTGTTATAGTGCTGTTGATGCATCTGAGCTGCACGTTGTAAACCTAACATTAAAATAACTCAAATCCAGCTTCTGCATCATCTTATTCAATAACAATCACAAGCTGCCTAATATACCACCACTTTCACACCACCTCTCTAACAACCAAATTACACAGGCTTAAAGTTGCCCTTGCAAGTTTAATCCTATACAGTGAATGCCTGCTATCGGCTAACCTGTTCTCACACACCTTCCCCATTCCACGACAAGGGAAAACGAGCGGGGAGGATTAGGATGCAAAGAGAGTTTCCTAATCTGTGTATTAACAGCAGCCAATTAAATCACGCTGTCTTGGGTAGGCAGATTTTGGGAAGTAATCTGGAGTGTCTTAATGTGATCTGTGTAAAAAGTTCAGACCTAATTGGAATGGAGAAACATATACATCAAAGTCAAGACTGAACACACACATATCATGCAGGCTTGCAGTGTTTTTCTTCTCCTCCACATGCATACAGGGAAATCTAACGTGTGAATGTTACTATTGAAGGAGATCAGTAACAGCATTATATTCTTGCTTTGATAAAACATAAAGATGGGTGAAAAGAGAGTGTTGTGTGTATGTGTGTCTCCTCTGTATGGAAAAATAATTGGCTCCAATAACTTATTATTAGACTGCTGCCTTTGTAGATGATACTGCCGTATTACCGAGACACAGACAGTTTTTCTTCTAATATTCTGAATTGTTGTTTTACCCTTTCCACTTCCTGTTTAAACTGCAAATAATTTTGATAGAAATATTGAATTCCCCTTTTCACCTGTGTTGTGATTCTCCCAGATACAGTGTCTGTATTTTTTTTAATGTTTTGACTGTGTTCAACCCTGCTTCCCCCCAAATAAAAACAACCCCAACCCTCATGTATCATAAATGAGGATGGCTCCTCTGCCTTCCTTTCTGCCTAATAGGGCTAGATGAAATGTGGGTTATGCCCACACCACTCTCCTCCTACAAAGCAGCAACTTTAATTATTGACCAGGCAAGGGAGGCTCTCCAACACACTTTCATAAAAACACAAACATCCCAGTGTACACAAACACACACGCCTACACCAGTCGTGAGTGATATAAGGACAGGCTTCATCGTACACACTCATCATCGCGGGGTCTGAGAGGAGTCAGTTGGATAATAGATGAGCTTTACACCCTGCCTGCATGGGTGCACTTTTTTTGGCTA